TGAATATATACATATATATATATATATATATATTTGTAGAAATATATATATATATATATATATAAAGCAGTACACTTGTTAGAGAGAGTAATATATATATATATATATATATATAAAGCAGTACACTTGTTAGAGAGAGTAAAAGAAGAAAGAGTATTGGAGTTAAAAGAAGAACAAAAAAGCAAAATATAAAATGCACGAAGACAGCAGAACAAATGCACAAAATTTATTCAAATGCAATTAAAAGAAAATATCGTTGTCTTTTTCTTCGCCGGTATATTATAATATAATATAATATATATATATATAAATATTATAATATATTGTGGTGTATATTATATATATTATATATAATATATAATACTGTATTAATATATAATATATAATATGTAAATATTATAATATATAATACTGTAATATAATGTATTGTATATAATATATATTATATTTAATATATACTGTATTAATATATAATATATAATATGTAATAGATAAGATGCATAATATATGATGTAAATATATATAATAAATAATGTAGAATATATAATATGTAATATATAATATATAATATAATGTATATAATATATAATATATAATATATAATAAATATTATATAATATATAATATACAATATATATAATATATAATATATATAATAATGACGCGATATTATATTTGATACAATTCACTGTAATTTATTAATATAATATATTAGACTATAATATATATATATATTATATAATATAATATATATATATATATTAAATAGAATAGCAAAGAGAAGACTAAAAGAAAGGAGGAAGAAGACCCCCAGGCGAAGTGAAGAAGCAGTGTTGGCTGTATCTGCTGACAACTGTCTCTACTGCTGCTTCCAGCTGCTGCTGCGTCTCGGGACCACCGCTGCTGCTCAGCCCTAGTGAAGCGCGCAGACGCTCCTCTGAAGCAACGGCAACAGCAGCAGCAGCAGAAGCAGCACCAGAAGCAGCAGCAGCAGTAGCAGCGGCAGCAGAGAGGCAGCAGCAACAGCAGCACAAGCAGCAAATATATAGAGGAGATGCGTTGGAGAAGAGCTTCGAACGGTAAAGACAGCAATCATCACTTTCACTAGCTAGCTAGGTAGGTATCTAGCTAGATAGCTAGCTAGCTAGTTAGCTAGCTAGCCAAGTAGCTGAGGAGCTGACTCTCCGTGTCCCCTTTCCCAGTCTGTGAGTATCTTTATCTGCGTAGCTAGCTAGCCGTCTAGCTAGCTAGCCACGCAAACAGCTAGCTAGCTACCTACACAGGAGGCTACGCAGCTAGCTACCCAGCTAGTTACCCTGCTATCTACCCAGCTAGCTAGCTAGCCAACTAGCTAGCTAGCTAGCTAGCTAGCCAACTAGCTAGCTAGCTAGCTAGCTAGCCAGCTATATCGGTGAGTGTTTATATTACCTTTAAGTTTGAAGGCAATGGCTGCGAGGTCTCTGAAGAGTGCTTTATCTTCGATTTGTTTGATGGTTAGTAGCCGAATAACTTGTGAAATAATTAAATAAAGAAGAGACAGAAGCAACTCTAAACAAAAAATAAATGTACACAGAGAGCAGACGCCGTACCAGGGCACACCCAGCATGCGCTCTCTACCCTGCACAAACGCAGCAGCAAATGCAGCAGCAAATGCAGCAGCAAAAGCAGCAAGTGTAGCGAATGCAGCAGCAAATGCAGCAGCAAATGCAGCAGCAAATGCAGCAGCAAATGTAGCCAATGCAGCAAATGCAGCAGCAAATGCAGCAGCAAATGCAGCAGTAAATGCAGCAGAAAAGGCAGCAGAAAACGTAGAAGCAAATGCAGCAGCAGCAGCAAAAGCAGCAGCAAAGCGACGTAGACAGAGAGACAGACACAGAGAGACTGACAGAAAGACAGAGCAGGAGAAGCCAAATGTCTCCTTTAAAGACAGAGACAGAGACAGAGAGATGAAGAGACAAAGAGATGAAGAGACAGAGACAGAGACAGAGACAGAGACAAAGAGATGAAGAGACAGACAAGGAGACAAAAGGAGACAGCTTGCGTACGGCTGTGAAGGTTGGGGGGTGCAGCACAGAGCCGGGGTAAGAGAAGAAGAGACAGCAGCACCAAACTCTAATCAACAGACACACTAACACTGAACGCCAGTGTGCTCGCAGCAAACCGTCGTTCATCCTGCAGCAGAGCAGCAGCAGCAAAAGCAGCAAAGGAAGCAGCAGCAGCAGCAGCAGCATAAGCAGTAGCAACAGCAAAAACAGCAGAAGCAGCAACAGCAGCAGAAGAAAAAACCCTACAATAGCGCATACACAACCAGAAAGGCATCACTAAGAGCAGCAAAAGCTGAAGGACGTTCAGCAGCAGCAGCAGCAAAAGCAGCAGTAGCAACAGCACCAAGAGAAGCAGCAGCAACACACCAGCAATAGCAGCAGGAACAGGAGGAAAGGAGCAGCAACAGCACCAGCAGCAAAAGCAGCACAAGCAGCAGTAGCAAGAGCAGCAACACCAGCAGCAGCAACAGCAGCAACACCAGCAGCAGCAACAGCAGCAACACCAGCGGCACCGGCAGCAGCAACACCAGCAGCAGCAACAGCAAAAGCAGCAGCAGCACCGGCAGCAGCAGCAGCAACAGCAGCAGCAGCAGGAGGCGAGTGTGTATAGTAGGAGGGACCTGACAGCTTTAATAAGATTGGGGCCGATGAGGAGTTGATGAAGAGACAGCGGAGCGAGCATAGAACGGCATGCAGTAAACAGCATCAAAGTTGCTGTAGAGACTGTCTCCGACTCATCTCCGCGAGGCAGCTCCCCTAACTCTATATCAAACATCACACGTACTTTCTCCTGCTGCTGCTGCTGCTGCTGTTGCTGTTGCTGTTGCTGTTGCTGCTGTTGTTCCTGCTGTTTCTGCTGTTGTTGGTGCAACAGCAGGAATTAGTTCGGAGCATTAACAGTGCAAACACTTGCAGCAGCAGCAGCAGCAGCAGCAGCACGAATAATCGTAGCAGCAGGAACAGCAACGCGAGCAGCAGCAGCAACCAACAGCAGCAGCACTAACCACAGCAGCAGCACTAACCACAGCAGCAGCACTAACCACAGCAGCAGCACCAACCACAGCAGCAGCAGCAGCAGCAGCAGCAGCAGCAGGAGCAGGAGCAGCAGCACTTACGGGGGAAGTCGAACTCGGACTGTCTGTGGGCTGAGCCGTGGGGGCCGAAGTTTTTTGGGTTTGTTTGGATGGGGGGGACGAAATAAGTAATAGAAGTGCGCCCCAGCAACACCGAAATAAAAGGATAGAGAGACACTAATAAACTCAGCAGCTGCATGCATGCACATATACATATATATATATCAGCAGCAACATGAGTATCAGCAGCAGCATCAGCACCAACATGAGCATCAGCAGCAGCATGACCAACAGCATCAACAGCAGCATCAGCACCAACATGAACATCAGCTCACTGCTGCTGCATCACCAGCAGCAGCAGCATCACCAACAGCAGCATGACCAGCAGCAGCAGCATGACCAGCAGCAGCAGCATGACCAGCAGCAGCAGCATGACCAGCAGCAGCAGCAACATGACCAGCAGCAGCAGCATGACCAGCGGCAGCAGCATGACCAGCAGCAGCAGCAACAGCAACAGCAAGAGGAGGAGGAGGAGAAGAGCTTACAGGTTCAAGAGCAAATAGGAAGAGTGAGTATTTACCGATTAGCGGAAATACACCTGAAGAGGCCAACTTAAGAAAGTCAGAGAAAACCCCAAAATCTCTGAAGGCGAGAAGTGCAGCATAGAAAGAAAAGAGTCGAAGACCCGCAAATAAGCAGGTGTATATACAGTCCAGCAGAGGAGCAGCAAATACAAACAAACAAAAACAAATAAACATAAATGACCCTATCAAAACAAATGCTACACGTGTCTCTATCTCGCATGAAGACCAAGACAAATTCTCTTCGCGCAACAACTTCAGAGAAAATACACCAACTGGGAAGTCTTCAAAGTGCTGCAGCAAACAAACAAACAAATAAACAAATTAATAATTTATTTATTTATTTATTTATTTATTTATTCATTTGTTTGTTTGTTTGCTTGTTTGTTTGTTTGATTGTTTATTTAGTTATTTATTTATTTGTTTATTTGTTTATATTTGTTTATTTGTTTATTTGATTGTTTATTTAGTTATTTGCTTTGTTTGTTTGTTCATTTTATTTATTTATTCGTTTGTTTATTTAGCCAAGTTATTAATAATAAACGAAATAAATAAATAAATAAATAAATAAATAAATAAATAAATAAATAAATAAATAAAGAATTAAAGACAAACAAACAAATACAAAAACAACAAGAAGTGCATACCAAGGATTCAACAAATAAACAAATAAACAAACAAATAAATAAATAAAATAAAAATAAATAAATAAATAAGTAAATAAATAAACACTGATACATATCTGCAAGCAGGTTGTTTGTCTTACTGCACCAAATCTTTATTTTATTTAAAAGACAGCAAATAAACTCCTTATCTTCCTTCTTCTCTTCGCATGCATGCATCCATGCATCCAAATACATACAGATATATAAACATATAAATATATAAATATATAAATATATATATATATATTACCTGATAGAAATAGAATACAGTGGCTACGAGGGCAAGTTGAGAAGTAAGAAAAAGCATAAAAGGCAGACTGAGTTTAGTGCTCGCGCTGAAAGACAAAGAAAAACCTCTATCCAGCAGCATTGCTGCTCCGTGACGAGAGCCTAGTTGCTGCACATACACCACAAGAACATAGCATTCTCCTGCTGCTCCTGCTGCTGCTGATCCTGCTGATGCTGCTGATCCTGCTAATCCTGCTGATGCTGCTGATGCTGTGGATGCTGCTGCTGTGGGTGCTGCTGCAGATCATGCTGCTGCTGCTGCTGATAGTGCTGCTGCTGCTGCTGATGATGATGGTGCTGTGGCTTCTTTTTGCTGCTGTGGATGCTGTTGCTGCTGCTTCTGCTGCTGGTTCTGCTGCTGATGCTGCTGCTGCAGATACACCTCAGCCTCTCACATGGCTGCACTAGAGACAAGCGCATGCAATTTAATTTGTCGCTGTCTTCAATTTATTTTATCTTTGATATCCTATTTGTCTATATTTCTTCTTTGTATATTAATGCATAATATATATACATGTATGCATATATATAATTATGTTTATATATTTTATATTTATATTTATATTTTGTATTTATTTATTATTTATTTATTTAGCTCATTTATTTCTTTCTGTGTCCCCCTTGAAGTAAAATAAAATAAAATATACTGATGCATTAATTAGTACTTATGCTGTTTAATAAATTATTTGCTGCTGCTGCTCACCCTAAACGCATACAGCAGCCGCTGCAGTATTCGTCTAGCAGCAAAACCAGAGACAGGCAAACGACGTGCTGCTGCACTAGCCCCCTCGCAGACAGCCACCATACGAGATAAACTGCAGCAGCAAATGCAGCAAATGCAGCAGCAAATGCAGCAAGTGCAGCAGCAAATGCAGCAGCAGCAGCAAATGCAGCAGCAGCAGAAAATGCAGCAGTAGCAGAGACAAATGCAGCAGAGGCAAATGAAGCAGCAGTAGGAGGAACAGCAGCAGCAGCAGTAGCAGCAACAGCAGCAGCAGAAGCAGCAGTAGCACCAGCACTAGAAGAGGCAGCAATTGCAGGAATTATATGAAGGAGTGAGGAGACAAACAAAGAGAGACAGAGACAGACAAAGAGAGACAAAGAGAGACAAAGAGAGACAAATAAAGAGAGACAAATAAAGAGAGACAAAGAGAGACAAAGAGAGACAGAAAGACACACCTCATATCATAGTCCCAGAGGCTCTCATCAGGGCTTTGTACAGTCTCTGCATTTTTATTGTGTTGTCTCTTCGATAAAGAAAGCCCTTTAGCTTCGCCTTCTGCATTGCTCCCCAGCTTCTGCTGCTGCTGCTGCTGCTGCTGCTGCTTAGGATAGCTGCTGTTGTTGTTGCTGTCGCTCTCAAGTGCTGTTGCTTCAGGCTCTTGCATTTGTAGATCAATAGGACGATAGGGGGGCCCCCTGGGGGCCCCCCTATTATGTCTCTTATTAAATTCTTCATTATTACGCCAGCCTATCCAGTGAAAGTGTTTTTTCTTGTTTTGTACAGGGCTAGACACAAACAGAGACAACCCTTCTTTTGCTGCTATCTCCTCAAGTGCAGCAACAGCAGCAGCATTACGAGGAAGATTAGGGTCTCCTAATAGGATGGGCCCCTCAACATTAGTAGGGGCCCCTGTGGGGCCCCCCTTAACTCTTGGGGGCCCCCCAGAGGTGGGGGCCCCAGATAGGGGGGCCCCCCCACTGGGGGGCCCCCCAGAGGTGGGGGCCCCTGTGCTAAGGGGGGCCCCCTTATCACTTATAGCAGCAGCTACTCTTTCTGCTGTTGCACACTGACGTAGTCTTGCTAGTTGAATAGGAATAAAACAAATGTTTTTAAACATAAAAGGAGAAAAACCTGAAAAAAGATATTCAATAAAGATAAACAAACAAACACAATAAATATATATATAAATATATATATAAATATATATATAAATATATATATAAATATATATATAAATATATATATATATATGTATATACATAATATTGTAGAGGGGTTAGGAGACAACGTAAAATAAAAAAGAGAAGTAGAGAGAAAGAGAGAAAAAGATATAGAGTCTATAAATAAAAAACAGAGACAGGGAGAGAGACAGAGACAAGGAGACACACAAATAAAGAGACAGAGACATAGACACAGACCCTAAACCCTAAACCCTAAACCCTAAACCCTAAACCACAAACCCCTCAATCCTAGAACCCTAAACCCTAAAAAGAGAGACAGAAAGACATGAAGACAGAAAGACAGAAAGCAAGAGAGAGCAAGAGACAAAGAAAGACATACAGACATAAAGACAGAAAGCAAGAGAGAGAAAGAGACAAAGGAGACAGCTGCGGAGACAGAGCAAGAGACAGAGACAGCTGGGGAGACAGCAAGAGAGAGTTTTAAAGTCTCTGAAATTATATATACCTGTATAAGAAGGATAGTACGCCCACATGAAGAGACGAAGAGAAAGCAGAGGTAAGTCTACGAAGAAGACCCCAACGATAGCTGCATGCTTTCTCATAGTGTGTACATCTGCTGCAGAGCTATGTACACCTCTTCTGGCAGCAGTAGCAGGAGCAGCAGCAGCAGCAGCAGCAGCAGCAGCAGCTGCTGCTGCTGCTGCTGCTCCTGCACTACCCCCTCCTGCACCGCCTACAGAAGGAAATGAATAACCGTGTAGAAATACAGACACAGGTACAAGTACACCTGCTAGAGCTCGCAGCCAAGGGTTTTGCTGCAGCACTTGCTGCGGCAGCAAACCGAAAGCATAGAATGCTGCTGCTGCGTCAAGCAGATCTATAACAACATGCGTTGCTGCATCTGTATGCAGCAGAGACTCTAAACTAAAACTGCTAAGCCCCCCAAACAGCACTCCTGCTGCTCTAAACACCAGCAGTGCATACACTGCAGCAGATAATGAGAACAATAGTTCTACTTCTAATACTCCTCCTGTGGGGCCGCTCAGCAGCAAACCCTGCTGCTGCTCTCCTCCCGAGTAAACACCGAAGAAAAATAATAAATATTTTATTGATAACGCCCAGCTATATACAACCCAGCATGTACCTCCTTCTGTTGCTGCATAGTCGCTGCTGCGGCTCTGCAGCAGCAGCAGCAGCAGCAAAGCATCTACTGCACATAAGAACAGCCACGAGTAGGAGTATAAAGCTATGTAATAAAATAAACCTACTTGCTGCAGCAAGAACAGCAGCAATATGCACAGCAAAGAAAACTGGTTCCAAGTTATCGCCTGCTGCACCTGCTGACTGTCCCCCAATAAATCCCTACCCATTGCTGCTGCTGCTGCTGCTGCTGCTGCTGCTGTTGCTATTGCTGCTGTTGCTGTTGTTGCTGCTGTTGTTTCTGTTGTTTCTGCTGCTGTTGTTGTTTCTGCTGCTGTTGTTGTTTCTGCTGCTGTTGTTGTTGCTGCTGTTGTTTCTGTTGTTTCTGCTGCTGTTGTTGTTTCTGCTGCTGTTGTTGTTTCTGCTGCTGTTGTTGTTTCTGCTGCTGTTGTTGCTGCTGCTGCTGTTGCTGCTGCTGCTGTTGCTGCTGCTGTTGCTGTTGCAGCTAAGAATGCTGCTGTGCAGAATGATGTTGGAATGGATGCTGCTGCTCCTGCTGCTGCAGATGCTGTTGGTTCTGCTGCTCAGGAAGGTGCTCTCACTGATGCAGCAGCAGCAGCAGCTGCTGCTGCTGCTATTGCTTCGCTGCTGCTGCTGCTCTTCTGGTTTCCTTTGTGTTGGAGCAGCCGATATTACTCCGCCCACAGCCACAAACAAATCTCCCCCTGCTGCAGCAAACACCCCTGCTGCTGATGCTGTTGCTGCTGCTGCTGCTGTTGTTGCTGCAGTGGATCCAGTTAGGATGCCAGCCCTCCACAATTGCTGCTGCTGCTGCTGCTGCTGCTATCACTGCTGCTAAAGCCAGTGCAATTCGTCTTGCTGCTGCTGCTTGTTGCTGCAGCAGCTGCTGTTCGTGCCTTTCTCTGCTGCAGATAGGCGCAGGAGCTGCTGCTCCATCAATGCCGACGCCAGCTGCTGCTGCTGCTGCTGCTGCTGCTGCTGCTGCATAGGACAGTGGACGAACAGCAGCAGCAGCA